CCCCAAAACCCCAAAACCCCATCATTTAGTAATAATGAGCTAATTTGAGTTATGAAATAAAAAGATTAGATATCTATCAATCATGATAAATTTATTAATGGGAGCTCATGAAAGATCTGTTACTTTCTTGCCATTCATCCAAGGAATTAGAACTTTTCAAATGATGATTTCCCATATTGCTGTATTTTTATTGTTGCAATATAGAAGGCAATCTATTATCTACCTGCTTCAAATCTTCATTATTATAGTTATTCATTTTCCTCCTGCCAACTTATCTAGCTTTAACTTATATTATTTATCTTCTACCGTTTTCAGCAGTTGGAATAAGGATATCCTATCCAAAGCTATGACCAGCAGAGCCGATTGGGGAAGTTGATGCCTCTATTTTCATTACTGAGCTATTTCTCCTTTCATTCAAGTCCTCATTTTTATGATTTGGCTTTACGTGCTGCTATAATTCAATTTTCTTGTGAGTAAGTGAAGGAGATCTCTGGTAAAACTCTTGCTTTCCTATCGAGATATTAGTTTTGTTATTACTTTTATAATTAGTGTTTCCAGCCAGATTCGATACTTTCACTAAATATCTAAAAGTTTCGTCTTCGTTTCTACGAGATGTGTTACTGTCAACTGATAGCCTTAGAGGCATGAAAGTTTAACCCGCCTTTCTGAACTCATCTTGATTATAAGATTCATGTTTGATTTTATGAATTTTGAGTTCGGGCGGTGAGTTTGTCTTATTCCCCTTCCTCTTGTGTTTATAGTCATCTCTTTAAGTAGTTTTAAAACTTTTGGTAAAGTTATTATTGTATTAGTTTTTGTCAGAAAATATTTTAGAATTCGCATTGATGTCAAAAGATCCCATTCTATTTTAATGTGTGAAAGGTAAACTTGGTAGCAAGCTAGAGTTAAGTCCAATTTCACTTTGATTCTTATCTTTGATACTATTGATAGTGAAGGTATGCTAATGATGTATTTTATTAAGATAACTGCTTTGAATTAATTAGCTCTAACTTAAATCAGAATGCTAAGTTTAATTTTTCATCGCAAGGGAACTAATTTTCTCCATATAGTTAGTAAAATTCTTATTGACAGGGGGACCTCCAACGTTGTTATAGCTTTAGATCTTGTTTCTAGATAGAAGGTTGTCTCCGTTTAATTTTACAATTCTAATCTTTGATTCATCATAGAGTTAACTAACTACAGAGTCCTTTTACTATTCCTCAATATTGATAATTTGATGTTTATGATCGTTTGGACTCTGCAATTTTTCTTGAGAGATTTGAATAGATGCCTTTTTACTTTACAAAGCGTGATTTTGAGCTTTCATAGATGCTTTGGAAGGTGAAGAAAAATCTGAAAGTTTCATTTTCAAACTTAAGCCACCTATTACACTATTGGTATTAAGATCTTTAAGCTTTTTATCTGAAAACCCAATATATTGATTATTTGAAGTCTGGCTGAAGAAACTCTTGCTTAAGAAGTTATTCCCTATGAAATTAATTGAAGACGGCTGAGACAGTTATTAGCCATAGTCAGCTTTTGGGAAGAGTGCCTTTTCTTTTTCAAAAAATATTTACAAAAATTCGTGCTTGGACTTTTTAGATTTTTTCAAGTTAGCATAATTAGGGATAAAAGGTTCAGGGTTTCAGCTAGGATCAAAGGAAACTGAGTTTCTGTCTTTTTTATCAGGATTTTTTAACACATTAGGAGAGTAAGGCTAGGGTTTGATGAACTTAAAAGGAGAAGTGTGCTTTTTGTAGAGTTCAGCTCTTTCTTCCTAACTTAAAATCATGTAATGCAAATTATTCATTTTAGGATTCATTTTAAGATAAAAATTTAATTAGGATTATTAAATTACATAATCCTGATCAGTTATTATTTTACTAAAAGATTTACACCTTTTGGGGTTTTGGGGTTTTGGGGTTTTGGGG